CAAATCATTGTTTATGTTGAAGTAAGTTTCCTCTATACCCAATTTGCTGAGAGCTTTTATCATGAATGGATGTTGAATTTGGTCAAATGCTTTTTCTGCATCTATTGAGAGGGTCATATGGTTTCATCTTTCATTTTGTTAGTGTGGTGCATCATGTTGATTGATTTGCAGATGTTGAACCAGCCTTTCATCCCTGGAATAAATCCCACTTTATCATGACGAATGATCCATTTAAGTTATTGTTGAATTCAGTTTGCTAATATTTTGTTGATGATTTCTACATCTATGTTCATCAGGGATATTGGTCTGTATTTTCTTTTTTGTGGTGTCTTTTGTCTGGTTTTGGCATCAGGGTAATGCAGGCCTCATACAATGAATTTGGAAGCATCCCTTCCTCTTATATTTTCTGGAATAGTTTTGGAAAGATAGGTATTAACTCTTTAAATATTTGGTGGAATTTACCTGTAAAGCCATCAGCTCTTGGACTTTTGTGTTTTGATTATCAATTCAATTTTGTTACTAGTAATTGGTCTGTTGAGATTTTATATTTCTTCCTGATGTGGTCTTGGAAGATTGTATGTAGCTAGGAATTACTCTTTTCTTCCCAGTTGTCCAATTGGCTGGTGTAAAATTTTTCATAGTAGTCTCTTATAATCCTTTTTATTCCTATGGTGTCAGTTGTAACTTATTTTTCATTTCTGATTTTATTTGAGTCTCCTCTCTTTTTCTTTTTTGTTTATCTTTTCCAAGAACCAACTCTTAGTTTCATTGATCTTTTCTATCTTTTAAGTCTCTGTTTCATTTATTTCCACACTGATGGTCATTATTTCCATCTTTCTATAGCTTTCAGCTTTGTTTGTCCATTTGTTTTTTCTAGTTGCTTCAGATGTAAGGTTAGGTTGTTTGAGACTATTATTTTTCCTTGAGGTAGGCCTGTATTGCTATAAATTTCCTTGTTAGAACTGTTTTTGCTGCGCCCTAAAGATTTGGAACCGTTGTGTTCCATTTCATCTATCTTCAATTAGTCTTTAATTTCCTCTTGATATCTTCATTGACCCATTGGTTGTTTAGTAGCATATTGTTTAGCCTCCACATATTTATATATTTTCAGGTTTTTTCTTATAATTGATTTCTAGTTTCACACTCTTGTGGTTGGAAAAGATGCCTGATGTGATTTTAATCTTTTAAAATTTATTGACATTTATTTTGTGGTCTCAGATGTGATCTATTCTGGAGATTGTTCCATGTGCACTCAAAAATAATGTCTATTCTGCTGTTTTTCAATGGAATATTCTGCATATATCTGTTAAGTCTATCTAGTCTAATATATCATTCAAAACCTCTGTTTCCTTATGGATTTTCTGTCTGGATGATTTATCTATTGATATAAGTGGGTGTTAAAGTCCCTACTATTATTATGTTGCTGTCAATTTTTCCCTGTATGTTTGTTAATTTTTACTTTATATATTTAGACATTCCTATGTTAGGGGCATAGAATTATACTCTTTTAATAGAAATACACTCTTGTTGAATTGATACCTTGCTCATTACATAATGCCCCCTTTTTTTTAAATTACAGCTTTTATTTTAAAGTTTATTTGGTCAAAGTAGTGCTACCCCAGTGTTCTTTTCCATTTGCATGGAATACCTTTTACTATCCCTTCATTTTCAATCTATGCATATACTTAGGTCGAAGTGGGTCTCTTACAGGCAGAATATAGATGGATCTTTTTTTTTTTAATCCATTCAGTCACCCTGTCTTTTGATTGAAGCATTTAGTCCACTTACACTTAAGTAATTATTGATAGATACGTACTTTGGCCATTTTTTTAAATGTTTCTGATCATTTTGTTTAAAGTTATTTTCTTCCTTTCTTCTCCTTGCTCTCTTCTTTTGTGATTTGATGACTTTCTTTAGTGTTATGCTTGAATTCCTTTCTCTTTAGTTTTTGTATACCTATTACAGGTTTTTGGTTTGTGGTTACCATGAAGCTCATATATAACACCCTTTGTATGTACCGGTCTATATTAAGTTGATGGTCATATTCTAAAAGCACTACATTTTTACTTCCCACCTCTATGTTTTATGTATATGCCATCATATTTTACATCTTTTTGTTTTGTGCATCTCTTTCCTAATTTTTGTAGATATAATTGATTTTACTACTTTTGTCTTTTAACCTTCATACTAGCTTTATATAAGTGGCTGACCTTAACCATGTTTGCTTCTACCAGTGAAATTTTTTCTTTTCATAATTTTCTTACTTTTAGTTAGGGCCTTTTCTTTTCTATTTAAAGAAGCCCCTTTAATATTTTTGATAAGGCCAATTAAATGATGAATTTTTAAATTTTTGTTTGTCTGGAGAACTCTTTATCTCTCTCTTTCAATTCTGAGTGATAAACTTGCTGGATAGAGTATTCTTGATTGTAAATGTTTTTCCTTTCAGGACTTTGAATATATCATGCCACTCCTTTCTGATCTGCAAGGTTTCTGCTGAAAAGTTAGCTGATAACTTGTGGGGTTTCCATTGTAAGCAACTATTTGCTTTTTTTCTTGCTGTTTTTAAGAATCTCTTTTTATCTTTAATTTTTTATATTTTAATTATTATGTGTCTTGGTGTGGATCTGCTTAGGTTCATCTTGTATGGGGCTTTTGTGTGCTTTCTGAACCTAGATGTCTGTTTCCTTCCCCAAGTTAGGGACGTTTTCATGTTTTACTCGTTCAAGTAAGTTTTCTGTCCTTTTCTCTCTCTCTTCTCCTTCTGGGACCTCTGTAATGTTAATGTTAATATACTTGATGTTGTCCTATAGGTCACTTAACCTATCTTAACTTTTTTATTCTTTCCTTTTGTTCTTCAGCTTGGTTGCTTTGTACTATTGCCTTCCGGATTCCTGATCCATTCTTCCGCCTCCTCTAATATGCTGTTGATTCCCTCTATTTTTATTTCAGTTATTGTATTCTTCGGCTCTAATTTGTTCTTTTTAAAGTATTTTCTGTCTCTTTGTTGAAGTTCTCACTGAGTTAATCCACTCTGCTCTCAAGTCTGGTGAGCATCATTATGACCAAAACCTTTCAACTCTGTATCAAGTAGATTGCTTATTTCCACTTCACTTAGTTTTTTATCTGAGGTTTTGTCTTATTCTTTTGCTTGGAACATATTCCTTTCTCCTCATTTTCTCTAACTCTCTGTGTTTGGTTCTATGCATTAGATAGGTCGGCTATGTTTGCTCAATACTGTGCTCTAGCTACTAATTAATGAATCTGTACCAATTAGGGTTCTAATGTAAGACAGGTGGCATCATCCAAATTAGGATGATCAAGGAAGTTTTGTAAATGATGGTAGAATTATAAAGGTGTAGGCAGGATGGAAACTATAAGGGATTCCTGGGCTATCATACTCCAAGCTAGAGAATCAAGAGTAGGGGGAAGTATCTGACACCAGGAAGGAGAGGGAATCACATAGAATAGATCACCTTGAGGGATAGTGACCTTCTGTTGAGGAACACAGGGAGCTCTTCTGTTTGGAGTAATTTCCCTGACCCCATTCCCTTCCTCCATTCTCCTGATAGAGTTCCCTAGTGACCAAGCCCAAGGAAAGCCAAAGGGTATAGGAGCCTGTTAGAATAATCCATCAAGATTAACTTCCTAGGGTCAACAGCAGGATGTAGGGAGGAAGAAAGGGGATCTGAAGGGACAAACAGTGGATGTCTGTATACATGCTGACCTTATAGAAATCTGGAATTTATTTTTTTCTTGTTATATTACTATTCATTGGTGGCAAGTGGCCACCCTTTAAAAATGCTATCTCAGTGCCCTGAGCTCCCATAAGTTCAGCTCAGAGCTAACTTTGGTCATTCATTCACTTATCATTCAACAAACATTTACTGAGTCTCCAATATCCTAGGTTTCTTCTAGGCTTTGAGTTAAAAGTAGTAAGTGGAATAGACATAATCTGCCTATGAATCTGAGAATATTTTTCAAAATTTATGGTTTAATAGGTAAGTGTTCCAACTGACACAGAGAAAGATTTAAATAGTTTAATAAGTTTGTGTTCATAAAGGTAATCATTAAGAGCAACAGAACTGCATGGTCACTGAAAATCTAAATATAGCATTTAAACATAAAAATCTGAGAATTTGCAGGGCAGCCATTTATGTGCTAAAGAGCCACATACTTTTTAGGCAGTATATTTTCTCCTCCCTAAAAGAAGGACCTTCATCTTAAATTTTAATCTGTCTAGTTCTAGAAAGGCTTATCGAAATATGATTTGTAAGACAAAGTAGAGGTAGCTACCATGATGTAGAAAGTGCTGTCCAATATATAAATACCAAAGAATTGTCTGTGATGGAAATGTTCTCTTCTGCACTAATACACTGGACACTAACAACCACTACTTATTTTTGCTATCATGTGCTTGAAATGTTACTAATGAAACTGAGGAACTAAATTTAAATTTTTGTTTAATTTTAATTTATTTAAATTTAAATAGGCACATGTAGCTACAATAATGGGCAGCACAGATCTTGAACAAGACATGAAAGGTAAGGCTGGCTGAATAGATATCAATTCATTTAACCTCATTTCTCTTTTTGATAGAATTAATAACAGTTCTTTATTTGCTTTTACAGTATCATGTGCCCAGCAGGATGTCAAATAGGGAGGAAATCAAAGATAGGTTATATGAAAATAATAAGTGTTGGCAAGAAGGTGGAGAAATCGGAACCCTTGTGCATTCCTGGTATGAATATAAAATGGTGCAGTTGCTGTGGAAAACTGTATGATGATACCACAAAAAATTACACATAGAATTACGACAAGATCCAGGATTTCCAGTTTGGGGTATATTCCCCAGAAAAATGAAATCAGAGACAGAAAGAGAAACTCAGACTTAAAAAGGAAGGAGATTCTGACACATGCTATAACATGGATAAATTTTGAAACCATTTTGCTGAGTGAAGTAACCCATTTACAAAAGACAAAGACTGTATGATTCCACTTACTTGAGGTGGCTAGAGTAGTCCAATTTATAAAGACAGAAAGTAGAATGGTGATTGCCAGGAGCTGGAGAGAGAGGGAATGGGGAATTTAGTGTTTAATGAGAACAGCTGTCAGTCAGAGAAGAAGAAAAAAAGTTCTGGAAATGGTGATGGTCGCACAACAAGGTAAACATACTTGATGTAACTGAAGTTTATACTTTAAAATGGTTACATCAGTAAATTTCATCACATATACTTTACCACAATAAAAAAGTCAAGTTAGACACATGCCTCAAGGATTTTGCAAACTCGCGTGAGAAAGAGAAATAGTGATTACTACATGATCTCTCCTGCATCATTTTTCCTTCCCTTTTAACTTATGCCCATGAGCATACAAACACACATATCTTCATTATTAAAAACAAAATCTCTCCCCTGACTACATGTTTCACTCCAACTACTATCTCATTTCTCTGTCTCCTTTTACTCTCTTTAATTCTCTCTGTGCCTACTTCAAACAGGCTTTGGTCACCACAGACCACCAAAACCCTTATCAACCTTTCCCCTTACCTCCTATCACCAAGACATTGCTCGGTTTTCCATCCTAATTTTGCCCATGTTAACAGCACATACTAGTGCTGATCATTCTGAAGACATTTTTTTTTCACTTGGCTTCTGCAACACCATTTTTTGTCAGTTTACATCCTATCTCACTGCTATATATTCTCATTCCCCTTTCTTAACTCTTCATCTTCCTATCTCTGAGCTGTGGAGTGCCCCAGAACTCAGACTGCAGACATCTAAATTCTATCTGCACACCATCTATATGCCGAAGACTTCCAAAGTGATATCATCATCCTGACTAATCTGTCCAACTGCCTTCTTGACAACTCTGAACTTAAGTGTCCAAAAAGGAACTCTTAATCCCCAGCAATCCTCCACTCCCTCACTCACCCCAAAACCTGCTTCTCAGGCAGGCTTCCCCAGCTCAGCATAAGGAACCTCTTTTCTTCTAATTGCTTCAAGTAAAAACCTTGACTCCTTCTTGACTCCTCTTTCCAGCCAATTTATCAGCCAGTCCAGTCAGCCAACTCCTTGGGAACATATTCAGAACCTGCCTGCTCCTTACCAGCTCCACTGCTATACCCTTAGATCGGTCACAATTTTCCAGAGAAGCAAAACCAATACATATCGACCCTTGAACAACAGAGGTTTGAACTGTGCAAGTCCACTTATACATGGATCATTGTCAGTAATATATGGAAAAATTTTTGGAGATTTGACACAGTTTGAAAAAATATTTTCTTTCCTCCAGCTTTTTATTGCAAGAATACAGTATGTAATACATATAATATAGAAAATAGGTATGAATCAACTGTCTATGCTATTGGTAAGGCTTCTGGTCAATAGTAAGCTATTAGTAAAGTGTTTTCCAGGGTTAAAAGTTATACATGACTTTTTGACTGTATTCAAAGGTCAACTGTATATATGTGTGTGTGTGTGTGTGTGTATTATGTGTGTACACATATACATAAACAAAAATACACAAACACACACATACAGAGAGAAAGACACTGATTTGTTTTAAGGAATTGGCTTACCTGATTATGGAGGCTGAGAAGTCCCAAGATGTGCAGTTGGCAAGCTAGAGACCCAGGGAGGTTGGTGGCATAATTCCAGTCTGAGTCCAAAAGCCTGAGAAGCAAGAGAGCAAATGATGTGAGTTCTAGTTTAAGGCTGAGTCTGAAGGCAGGAGAAAATTGATGTCTCATCTTTAAGACAGGCCTAGAGAGAACAAATTCTCCCCTACCCCTGTCTTTTATTCTATTGAAGCTTTCAAAAGATTGGATGAGGTCCACTCACAATGCAGAGGGCAATCTGCTTTACTCATTCTACTGAGTCAAAGGTTAATTCACCCAGAAACACCCTCACAGATACACCCAGAATAAGGTTTAACCATTTGCCAGGGCACCGCATGGCCAAGATAAGTGGACACAAAACAATAACCATCACAGCTTCCTAACTGGTTGGCCTGCTTCCATCCTCATCCTCTAATTCTCCTCAGCACAACAATGGACTAAAACGAAACCAAACAAAAGTCACATCAGGTTGTTCCTCTGCTAAAAAAATTCTTCGATGTCTTCCTTTCTCAATCAAAATAAAATGTAAACACTTCATGACCACCAAGGCCCTACATACTCTGCTCCCCACCCCCAGCTCCACCACCTATTACTCTCTCCCACTCATCCTGTTCTACCCACACTGGTATTACTCCAAGAGGCCAAACATGCTCCTGCCTCAGGGCCTTTACATCTGCAGAGCCCTCCACATGAAGTGGTCTTAACCAAAATATCCACATCAGTTTCTCCCCCAACTGTTTTTTTTTTCATCTTAGAGCCCTTGCAATAAACCTTTGTTTTGTTTTAGTTTATTATAGCATCTCTCATCTCTCTTATTTTACTTTACTTTCAAAATAAACATTATTTTTTATAATGGCTTTAGATTTACAGAAAAACTGCAAAGATAGTACAGAGAGTACCCAAATGTGCTGTTCCCTTTTTTGTTTCTTATTACCATCTTACAATTAATATGGTACATCATGAAAGCTAATGAGCCAATCTTGATATTTTATTACTAATAGAAGTCCATCCGGACCTAATTCAGATTTTCTTAGTTTTTCACTAATGGTCTTTTTCTATCCCGGCATCTCATCCTCAATACCACATACATTTAGTTGTCACGTCACCGTGGGCTCCTCTAGGCTGCAGCAATTTTTCAGACCTGCCTTGTTTTTAATGACATAGACAACTTTGAGGAATATCAGTCAGATATTTTGTTGGATGTCCCATTATTGGAATTTATTTGATGTTTTTCTTCATGGTAAGACTGGGGTTATTGGTTTTGGGAAGGAAGACCACAGAGGTAAAGTACCATTTTCATCATACCATATCAAGAGTATTTACTAATAATACAATTTATGACTGTTAATGTTTGACCTTGATCACTTGGCCTTGACAGTGTTCCCCAGGGATTTCCATTGTAAAGTTACTCTTTTCCCCACTGTCCATACTGGAGGTTTGAGAGAAAGTCACTGAGCAGCCCATGCTTGCAGAGTGGGACCTTATGCTTCTCCTCCTTGATTGCCAAACATCTACATAAACTATAGGGAATTCTTCAGGGATAATTTCTCTCTTCATAATCTTTTATTTATTTTTTCAACCACTTATTTTTAAAATATGAACTCATGAGTTTTTTTTTCACTTGGGGTTGTAACCTACAACTTTATTTGCTGTGCGGCTCAACTTGTTCCAGCTTTGGCCACTGGGGGCTCTTCCAGGGGGCGCCTGCATTTCTTTGCTAGTGCCCATTGATGCGAGACTTGCTTTCTTCTCTGAACGCTTGCTAACTTTTAAGCCTCTCCCTTATTTTTCAAGATACTTCCCACCACCTCGCATACTATACACTTCATCTGTGTATCTTTCCCCGCTGGAGCGCCAGGTCCTGGAGGGCCGGGTCTTGGCGGTGTTTGGGTCACGGCGGTGTCCTCGGCACTTCCGTGGACGTTCAGTCGGTAGTGAATGGATGGCGACCCCGGCTGATGTTAAGGGCCCCTGGAGAGGGGTGATTCCGGGCGGGTTCTGGGAAGCCAGTGTCGGCCTCGGGGTCACCCGCATCCTCCCCGCCCGCCGCCTCGAGTCGCCGCAGGTGCAGGGCGGCCGCAGCCTCTCGCAGTCACTCCCACGCGCAGAACAGGCTGCAAGCGCCCGCGCCGGGGAAACGCAGTGGGGGCCGCGCGGCGGGGATTCCCGCGGAAAGTCCCGCGCCTCCGGGCCGCCCCTCCCCGCGCTGGGGGTGGCCGGCCGCGGCGGGGAGGGCGTGAGGAGACTCGGCCGCGCCCACCTGAGGCCCCGGAGCGTCCGCCGGCCGCCAGGAGCGACGAGGGGCTGGAGCAGGGCCGCGCCGGCGCCCCCCAGGCAGGTGCGCCGGGATTCCTGGCGGGGCGGGCGGGGCGGGGCGGCGGCGCGGGCGGCCCAGGGCGGGGCACGGCCCCCAGCCGCGGGCGCTTCCGACGCCAGGGTAGGGGCAGGGCCGGCGTCGTCCAGCTGCGGCGGCAGCGCGGAGCTCGGGCGGCCGAAGAGGAGCCCAGCCTCGGCCGCGGGACCCGCGGGAGGCGCCGGCACTCGCGCAGCGGGTTTCCTTCCTCCTCACGGCGCCCGGCGCGGGACGGGGCTTCTCGGTGCCCACGTTCCGGCCCGTCCCTGGTTCGTTTTGCTCTCCTGGTACCTCTTTTTCTCTCCTTCACCGCGCAGGAGCGGGACGCGCGCGGAGAGCTGCGGGACTGGGGGCCGCGGGTTGGGCTCGCCCGGCGGGGCTCAAGGGACGCCTGCCGTGGGGGTCCGGGTCTGGCCCGGTGCTCGCGCCGCCCCTGGGCCCTCGGGGAGCGCGGCATGGGGTTTCTCTTAGCGACGCGGTTGTCTTTCTCCCTGTGGACAGGGCACTGTGCCTTCAGGGCTTCATAGAACTTATCTCAGAGTTGACCTGTTGATAGGCTTCCCTATAAAGTATCCATCGGAGACTATTGTTTTAGGTCGAAAGGCTGCAGTTTTGTTTTGTTTTGCTTTCCTTTTGAATAAGTGGAGGCATTACTTCGGTTTGCTAACCTCACTTCCTAATAGGTTGCAGTTTCTCCAAAGCACCGGAATGGGTACTTGTCTAGAACTTGACAGTATGACTCAGGAGCCAGGAAATACGGAGAAATTGATACTACCTTGAAACAGTTCCTTCCACGGTCACGTAAGACTTTCTTTTAAAAAGAGTAATAAAGACAAGAAGTAGTGCAGTGTGCCTGCGAGAACCACACCATCCCGGGAGGGATTCTAGACTAGGCTGCCGCACGCCGAGATCTGTATTACTTCCTGTGGGTTCTCATGCACTTGTTTAAGCCATTTCTCAGCAAAGGGAGGAGCTGTTATTTCCACACGGGTTTCCAAAAATGAGTCACAGGGCTGCTCTCTTTAATTGTGAGACGTTGTTAATGAACTTTTGGAAAGTGAGGTTTGCTCTGGCTGTATTTAAAATAAGAGTAAGATGGGAAATGCATTCACTGTTAAACCCTTGCCGGTGGTATAGGAGGCAGCAGTTAAAGTTCAGTTTCCTAAAGCGCCTGATGGTACAGCATGCCAGCTAGGGTCACTAGGCTGATGTAAGATAATCATTAAAATCATGTGCTTTGCCACAGAGGCTCAAGAGAAAATTAATTCATTATTCAAAAACTGGCCTCTTACAGCTTTTGCTGGTATGAGAGAAATATGTCATTTTACGTAGTGGATTGTATGTCACTCTGAATCAAAGTAGTTCAGACAGTTTGTCTTTAGGGAATTAGTGCCAAATGAAAATTTTGTCTTTAGTAGATTAGTGCCACATGAAAATTTGTGATACCAGTAGGAGCTGAGAAATTAAAAAGTTTAAGCTGATAGGTCCCTTTGCAACTGTATAGCTCTTAGGAAGGGGCTGTACACTAGCATAACACAAAGTAGAAAGGGGGACAGCATCTCTGTTGGAGCTGAGTTGAGTTCAGACCAGCAAACAGTTATTGGGCACCTTTCCTGTGTCAAGCTCTTCACCAGACTCTGGTTGTACAAACTGTGAGTAAAATGAGATCCTGCCAGTAAGGTCCCTAAAGACTCATGTGGAAGGCTAGAACATCCACTGGAAAATCCAATGGAAGGAGGTGAGTGATATGACAAATTTATACCTATAGTAGAGCTTCTGTCCAAATATGACTGATGTTTCTGCAGATCTGGGATTTTGAATGAAATGGGTTGTCACCGCTGGAAGGACAAGGAAGGTATTGAGTTTAATCATCTACTATCTTTATAGGCAGCCTGTTGTGCTTATTCAATAGGTGTTTCAGTCAACAAGTGATTTAAAAATAAATTAGAAAGGTATGATTTTTAAGGTTTTTGAATTAACCATTTTTTATATTATTTAATAACCATGTAGAAATCCGCTTGTTATTCACCCTAGACAATCACAGGATGTTACAATTAATCACCTTTTAAACAGAGTGACTAAATTAATGGCTTTTAACTTTATAAGTTAGAAATACTTTTAGTTAATATTGAAGTAACTTTCTGATCATTGTTTTTATAGTTCAATCTTTTCTAACACATGATAGCTGTATGAGTCAAAATGAGAAAAATCTATGGTGTCACAGTTTACTATTAGGATTGAAATCTGCTGAAGTGCCTTTGGACTTGGTGCCAAAATATATTCAATTTCTCCAGTTCTGTAAGATAGTCAACTAGTGAGGGAACCAATGCTAAATTTGAGACTTTACCTTAATTTCCATACTCCATTTCTCCCTCAACAGTGTCAAAGTTACATTTTCCATGAAAAAGAAAGGGTTGTGTTCTTTATCGTGTACTCTCGGGTCTGGGCTGGCTTTGCTTATGAAAAGTGTTAGGAAGTATTTGTTGGCTGAAAATGACCCTTAATGTAAGAGGAAGAGTTGTCAGGCAGAAGGGTCAGCATTGCACAGTCAGGGAACTCCAGCCTGTCTGGTGAGGGCTGGGGAGAGGCATCCTAAAGAGGATGCAGCAGGAGGAGGATGTTCTGAGATATGTGTTTTAAAAAGACAGTTTAGCATCAAGATGGAGAATAGGTTAGATGAGAGCAATAGGAGCCTTAGGGAGACACGAGATTATTGTACTATGTGAGAAGAGAAATTAAAGAAGGCTTGAGTCAGGCAGTGAGAGTGAGGAATGGAAAAGAGGGCAGGAGCTGACCGATGATTCATAGGCAGAACCTGGCCACATCTTTAGAAACGGGTGGTGCGGGAGAGGGAGGAGTTTAGGATGCCTCTTACATGTCTAGTTAATTACTAGGGTAGGCTCACAGATGGAAGGTTTGTGCTAAAGGATGGTGAGGACCTCATATATTGCTTGACACATAATCAGTGATCATTAAAAATTTTTGAATGAATGAATGAAAGAATAACAGCTAAAATTTATTGGGTGCCTATTAATGCCACTCTAGGCTCCTTACATGAATTCAGTCTTTTACAGCTCACTACAATCCTATGACATAGATGCTATAATTTACTGCTTTTGGCAGGTGAAGGAAGTGTAATGTTAGTACTTGATAGAGCCAGGAATTGATCCCAAGCACATGGCTCCAGAGCTTGGAAGAAAGGAAGGGAGGAAGGGAGGAAGGAAGAAGGGAGGAAGGAAGGAAGGAAGGGAGGAAGGGAGGAAGGGAGGGAGGGAGGAAGGGAGGGAGTGAGTCATGGACACTGTACTGAACTCTAATTGGGGTCACTGTCCCAATCCCAACAATTCTTCCTCACCCAAGAATAGCCCGAAAGATGACATGGACCCCCAGTGGCCCTGTCCTGCTGCATGGCACCGCCCACCCCCCTGCTACTTCCTGCTCAAGGCATGCCTGTTTGGTTTAGGAATTAACCCAAAATAATCCGAAAATTTCTCCTGGAAGTTTGAAACATTGTAATGGAGACTCACAGTGACTGAAGATTCCCAGAGTTTCGATTGCCAGAGTTTCAAAAACTGTGCCCTTAGTGCTACCTTGGTTACCACCCTTCCCTCTATTGAATGTTTGGGGCTTTGGGTTTCCTACACATACTCTGTTTTGTTGCTGAGACTGTAGCATCCCTCCCGTGGAGAAGCAGAAAGGCTGGCAGGGGGGCCAGGTGGTGGTGGTGGTGGTAATATATCCACAGAGCAGGAAAGAATTACTAACATATGCAGGCAGGAACATAACTCCAGGTCTTACACTCATGGTTTGTAATCTGCTTTCTTGGGCCTATTTTGCTCCAGTTTTAAGGAAACAGGTGCGTGTCTGCTCCTCTTGCCTCTAACTTACAGGGTCTTTATTAAGTGGAGCTGGCCTGATGTGTCCTCTGTTCTCTTGATTTTAGCTGGGCAAAATGACACACGTTTTCTTCTTATAGGCCCTGCTTTCCATTTGCAGCATCCAGATAGATTCCTTTGGTTCTGGTAAAGGTATTTTTGACTAACAACCCATTCCCTTATCTCCCCCAAATCTGGCCCCAACTCCTCACTATAATCCTTATTTCATGATTCAACCAACCTGGACTTGAATTAATACCCTGGCGTCCAGATGTCTAAAACTTGAAGTTTTAAAATGTTTTCTCCACTTATGAAGAAACTATTCCCTTCCACATCTCTTTAGATTTACCAGGAAATTAAGATATTTATAGCTTCCCGTTATTTGAGACTAACATAAAGCCTTTGGGGATGATCCAACCCACATATTTATTCATTGGTCTGAATTCCTGTATGGCTGTCTACAATTCATTCAGTGCTCAGATAACACAAAAAGGAAGGGTTTTAGTTAATATTGCATGTGGGTTTCTCCTCCTCAACTCAACTGTGGTTTCCCTGAGAGCAAAGAATCACTGGGGTTGGGGACCCTGGTAGGTCTGTAAGCCTCCACCCAGTTCTTACCATTCTGCGACTTTTGTTGATAAGGAAATCTTCTGTCAGAGTAAGTCAATTCATTGGCCATTCCTTCTGAGTCTGTGGATACCAGGAATTATTTGTGTATCTCATTCAATTCTTTTTAAAGCTCAATAATTTGGTCATTTTTAATATACAGAGAATTTTAGAATTGGCAATTTCCAGTCATCCTTCTTGAGCTAATTAATGTTTGCAACTTAATTATGTACTTTTCTTTTCAGTGGCTATATCATTAACGTCATCTAGAAAATACTAAGTTGCCTAGAAAAGTATTGTCCATTTTATATGCTCAACTCTGACTTATTTCTCTGTTCAAAGATGTAAAATAATATTCCATTACTCATTGTGTGACTTATTGGGTAATAATGTGAATTCTGACTTTACAGAGTAGTGGAAATTCTCTGTTGCTATCTTCATATGGAAACAGACTGAACAAATACTGTTCTTCTGTTTCAGTTTCAGGATTGCAACAATGCATGTACTGCCTCCTAGTTTTCTAGTCTGTGCCTGGGTATATTGATTGGTGACACAAATCTGTTGATTGAGATAAAGTAGGACACAGCATGTAAGCCAAATTATATAGCATTAGTAAATATCCCACTTCCTCTGCCCCCTTCCCTGATTACTTCATGCTAAACTAACATATAGTAATGTTAGCTGACAATAATTATATAGCACTTCATAATTTATAAAGGATGTGCTTATACAGCTTCTCTTTTAATTCTCATAAAAGCTTGGCAAAACAGGAAATGTAAGTTTTATTACTGTTGTAGTTATCTGTATAGGAATTCTATAGATGAGGAAGAAGACACTAGACAAATTAAGTAACCACCCAAGATTACCCAACAAGTAAGGTGTGGAGGCCCACTCCACTGCTGTCAGCAATTGACTGAAAGAGGGGGAGGTTCAGGACCTTAGGTCAAGTTTCCTGGAAATAGAATCTGAGATTTGCATAAAGGGGTTTCTTGGAAGGAGGTCTGGGAAGAACACTTGACAGGGAGAGAGAACAGCAGGATTACAGAGGGAGAAATTGAGCTGGGGGGCATGTTCAGTGGCGGCCTCAACGGCAGGTATTTTGGAGCTGGGATAGCCCTTCAGTGTTGTTCTGTCACCCTGAAGCAAGGGAGCTGATCATTTCCAGCCCCTGTATTGGCTAGTCACTGGATGTGGGCTGCACCAGGCAGCAGGTGTAATCTTGGGCTTAAGCAGCTTTCTTCCATCTGAGACAATTGCTGGGTTTGTGAGTCTTTGGCAGCCAACATTTGGCAACTGGGACAATGAGGACGTTAGTCCTAAAGGGGATCTGTGTATCACATTATCCACATTGGTATGGAAGCGAGCATTCTTCTCTGCAATGGCCTTTCTTATGCCTCTCTGACCCAGACCATTGCCATGCTGAGTGGAGCCCAGAAAGTGGCATTTTGTCCAGGGCTCTTAAGAATTTAGACCTGCTGGCCAGACAGCAAGGAGACAGAGTAGCCTTAATCCTAGGAAGATGAGATGCACCAGAGATCAGTGAGGGTAGGTTCAGATGAATGGAATGAGAGTGCCCAATAGAAAAGGGTACCCTTTGATGCCCACAGCTAACAAAAATCCCATGGCTGTCAGACCCAGATCAACAGTGTAATGTATGATGTCTTTGCTATAATTCTAGGCTTAAAAATTGTGAAATGGTAAAAAATTTTGTGACAGTAGGCTGCATTTTCTCTCTCTCCTCTTCCTCCTCCCCTCTGTCATCTTTGTAAACCTTTGAAAGGCCCCAGACCAGTCCAGTGAATTTCACTGTGTAGCCTGTAAATTATAAGAATCAGAATTAACTGGGATATTTAAAAATAACACTCCTCCCCCAAACCAAATAACAGCAGAAAGAAAACAAAGGGAAGTCCAGATTCACATGTGATACCTGCTGAAACAGAATGTTTAGGAGTAGAGCCCATGAACTGACATTTTCAGCAAATTTTCCCTAGATGACTTTGGTACATGCTGTAGTTTGAAGACCATTGCACTAAACCATTATACTCTTTGATGGTGATGAAGACTATTAGGATTTTTCAAATTAATAAGAAGCCATTGAATCATAGGACAACAGAGGAACACATGAGCCTTATTCCCAGCAGGCTAGAGGTAGTGGCTTTCACCCTTGCCCTTTATAGCAGATTCCATGTGCCATTGCTGGAAGTCAATTTGTCAATATTTTAATATATAATATACAGTAAAAGAAAACAAACTTAAA